TATATATATATATATACATACACTGAGTGGCCAGATTATTATGACCACCTGAAGTTTGTAGGCAAATTAGCTATGATATGAAGATATGGGTAAACAACGCGATTTAGCAGCCTTTGAATGTGGGATGATTGTTGGGCTCAAGCCATGGAGCGAGTATCAGCAAAACAGCAGAATTTGTTAAATGTTCAAGAGCAGCTGTTGTTAAAGTGTTTAACCACTTGCTAACCGGGCTGTTTATACCCCTTTCCTGACCCGGCCATTTTTCAGTATTCAGCGCTGCAGTACTTTGACTGACATTTATTCCGTCATGCAACGGTGTACTGGAATTAATTTTATACCATTTTTTGGGGACAGATAGAGCTTTCTTTTGGTGTTATTTAATCACCACTACAGGTTTTTTTTTTACTGTATAATAAAAAAAGTACCGAAAATTTTGAAAAAAAAAACTGTTCTCCCTACGTTATGTTATAAAACATTTATTATCACCCAATTTTTTGGTAAAATATAAAAGATCGGGTCACGTCGGGCAAATAGACACAAAACATGTCAAGCTTTAAAATTGCGTGCACCCGTTAAATCGCAAAAAACTACCATACTCAAAATTGACCATAGCCGACGCTTTAAAAGCTTTTACCGCTCATCAGTTTAGTGTTATCAGTGATTAATGACCCTAGAATTCTTGCTCTCATTCCGACGTTCGTGGCGATATGTAACCTGTGCGGCGCAATGCATGTAATCGGCGTTTTCACACATAGGCAGGCTTGACACATGTTTGCGTGTGGGGGCGGGGGACTTTAATTTTTTTTTATTGCTTTGATATGTGATTTTTATTTTTTTTTGTAACAAATTTTTTTAAACCTTTTTTGTTTTCACTCACCTTTATTGCTATCACATAGGGAGCAAGCAAACTCCCTATGTGATAGCCAATTTGCAGTGACAGGTCCTCTTTATGGAGACATCAGGGGTCTCCAAGACATGCATTCAGAAGAGGAGAGGAGATCAAACGGAGCTTGTGTACTGAGCTCCGTTTGATCTCCGGCCGCAGAGCTGCTGTGCTGGTCCCGGGCTCACACCGGAAACAGCGGAGCCCGGGATCGGCAGCAGCGGCGGCGATGGATGGTTAGGGGCCCGCACACCCGACCGGATATTACAAGCGATCGGGCGTCTCTACAGACGCCTGAACGCTTGTATGTAAACAACCATCATTGGCCAGTTTCCCGCTTGTGCCCGCTGCCTAGGCGGTGGGCATGAGCGGAACGGGATAGGACGTCTAAAGACACCCACTCGCCCTCAAGAAGCCGCTGTCCGGCTGTTTATTTACAATGGCCGGACAGCAGGTAGTTAAAGACTGGACTGTCAGCTGAAACTCTGGGTCTGAACGTGCGAATTGTGGCGGTCAGCGACTAGTCAATGTTAGGGCAGAACAGAGAGTGGCAAGACTGGTACAATACAATAGAAGGGCAACAGTGCAGTGTCAGATTCCTCGCATGACCTTTCAACATCTCGTGGAGTCACGAGGCGGCCCAACAAAGTCATCTCGTGGAGTCATCTCATGGCCCAACGAAGTACTGATGGGGTGGTCATAATAATCTGGCCACTCAGTGTGTATATATATATAGTATCTATAAAATGATTGTCACTTAATCTAGCCTGGTTACATGGTAACCATTTTATCTGTGGTCACCAATACACTTCCACAGACATACTCAGTTTAATGGCCTTGGGTGAAGGAGCTATCAACCCTGCTTTCACCCATCCCTCCTCTATAGTCATAACCTTCTGTGCCTAGATAACCAGAATGCTATGTTTATGGGAAGATATTTCTTATGATGCTTGATTTCTGCCTAAACATTTGCCCTCACCTCATCACCCACCAATGTTTTCGGGCAAATTAAAGCTTGTAGACACAGAATTAATGTTTACTGGCAGACCTGTTCATT